TAACGAACCATCAAGAGATCCTAAAGGTAGTCACTTTATACAAATAATACTAGAGTTAAAATCTGAGTAGTAAGATTATCTTTCCTTGCTCCCACAAATAAAACACGAACGCTAGTTGATGGCCTTTTGATGTTCACCCTATACCACCTCCCCATCATTTTCAATTTTATGGCTTAGTGCAATTGCAAAATTCTTCAGTTTCCTAACTTGAGAACAGGGATTCAAGTATAAAAGCAAGCATTTATGCAAATTATTCCGGCGTTAGCTATGTTTCCAGTTTCTCCCTAGCAGCCCACACTGATGGGAAAGACAGCATTTTTGCAGGGGAAGTGTTTGTGCAAATTAATTATGACTACGAAATAAGAGAAGGATGATACCTTTCTAAAACATAGAAACTTCGGTTTAACTACTGTCATAACTATTCCATTGTGATGCTAACATGATGGCTAAACAATAATTTGCAATGGCCTGCAGCCTATGGTTGTGTGTAGGTTTCTGAATGGCATACTTTCATCTCGCTCGTCTCTGAATAGCACTATATTTTCCTAAAGAGTAATTAGATTTGCAGAGACAGTAAATACTATCTTTCTAGAATGTGGAAACAACACACATCATATGCTGGTTTGGTATGCAGCATGGAGGGTACACCTTGGGGTGAAGTTCTTTTATTATGCTCTATTGGGCGATGACATTGTCATCACGGATCCAGTAGTCATGAAGTCATATATTGAGGTTATGGAGGAGTGTAAGGCGACCATATCAAAAGAAAAGTTCCTTTTGCCTAATTAAATTCTCTTAACAAGTACAACAAATGTGTTTAACGATTTTAGATAAAAGGTGGGATCAAAGTCTACATGAAAAACTCCCAGCATATTTATTATTGAGAAGAATACATTTTGATGAGAAGGTGTGATTAGTAATGGAACCTGATAGATGTAATGGTTGATGACTAAAATATCAAGGAACTTCATAGAAATTACTCATCCCACTCACATGCATCCTTTACACATTACACGCCACTTAAATTGTGTGTGCTATAAGATATAAATGTACAAAATATTTCAATACCCTCCTCATATGTTCCCTGTCAAGAATAAACTAATCATGTGAACAAATTGCATGCTATTGGTAAGGTAGTGAAATTCAAGTGTATAACTTATTGTGTGATCCATTTAGGTCTAGCAACATATGTTAAAAGGCTTTAGCGTAATAACAATTTGGGATAGCTTCTCACATTTTCATGAGCCATTCCAACGTATAGATGGTATGTTCAATACTTCATGAAATCCTGGGACTTAGTCTTGCAGTAATAGCATCACTTTCTACAAGTGTTTGCAGACCAACTTGAAAACAATTTACTTTTCTTTTGGATTTCTATTTTCCTACGATTTCTTGTTTGACATCTGGTGGAGAGTTACGGAATGAGAAACTTTTATCTTATGGATACTAAGCTTTAGTAAATTTACATTGCCAGGATATTCAGCACAGCCAATCGTGATATAAGAGGTGAACAAAACGTCAAAACCATATGTTTTTGACTAATCATTAATGTTATGAATGCCACTACACTCAAGAATATACTATGGTTTTGTTTACAATTCCTGATGAACAAAGGGGAAAACAAATGAAATAGACAACTTGTACTCGATTAGTTGGCATGACTCTAAAATGAATCATCGTAGCTAAATTGCACAGAGATCATCAACTTCAACAACTATTGTTTGCCCAAACCACAAACATCATATCTTTCTTATATGTTTCACAGGGAATTCATAGGAATTGATCATTAATTTTCTCATCATTGAATAACACATGGTATATGTAGAATTTTAGATGTTAAAAGCTTCTAATAAATGCTATAACCAGAAAAATTAGCATTACCGTCCATCCAGGTGGTCCTTAAATATACTGTCAAATGCATGCCACATTTCCAAACTCGTGTAACCGTGATGCCTACAGATAAAATACGGGTATTAATTGAAACAGAGCAACAAACAATCTCATTTATAAACAACAAATGATTACATGTGGGTCTCAATAATTACAACTACATCCATGGAACCTTCCAGTTGCTAAAAAAATTAGTTGTCTGTCTTATTAATGCAATAATTTTGGACATTTGCTGCCTGATACCAGTCTCCAACCGTGGAAAAAAGAAATTTCAATGTGAGGGCAGTCCTAGAACATTATAATCAATTGCTCTCCAGAAAACATCATAATAAAAAATGTAAGGAAGAGGAAGAAAAACATTAGACAAAGGTTTTGTAAGAGATACTCTGATCCTACTTTTTGTTTTTCTGATTAGAAACTGTACTCTGATCCCATTTTATGCTATTCAGTGATAGAGTCAAAACAATCCAGCTCCTCTGAACGAGCAGTCATCATTTCAAGATTGTTGTTGATCTCAAATTGACGTGATTCACAAGAACTCCAACACTGTGACCTTCTAGCTTGTATATTCTTCCATCCAGTACCTTAAACATATTAAAATTGAGAATAAAATAAGAAAACACTAGAGAATAGGCGTTACAATGTGTAAAGATCAAAAGACAAGAACAATTTCTGTCCTAGTGCATTTGTGCCTTGGTCCATTACATCCAGTTTCACTAGCATTCCAAATGTTTTTTGACTAGGAAATTCAAAATCTAATTAGAAAAAAAATTCCACCCCGTAAACAAGGAATCCAACTCAAAACAACACATCTGAAGAACAAAGTAAGTAATAAACCAATGCTTTGCCATGGTAAAGCTAAGTGGCAGTATCTTGATTAGCAGGAGAAACGGCCACTACTAGGAAACTGGGGCAAAATTTCAGGATGACCCATTACATGACCCCAGTATTAGTGGTACATAAACGTGCAATTACACATTACATTATGCAAACAATTTCCAAAGCAATGATGTAGATGCCCATGGAGTAGATGAAAGGAGAGAACATGTTTTATTATTCAAAAGGAGATAACTAGAAAAAATACCGCAAGCTCTTCAATTTTAGTCGTGCCAGCACTCGGCAATGCTTAGCAGTGTCAAGAATATGTAGTAAGCTCCCAATCTGGAGGGCTAATACGGATATGCAGCAAATCATTTGCCTTGCTCTGTTGCTCTTCCTCAATTTGTCTTGCAGATTTTATAGCAGAGAAGCTACAATCAATCAGCTCAATAATCTCCAGTGTGAAAATATCCCCTAATTCAAAAGGGATTTCCTGGAGTTGAGAACATCCTCGCAGCATCAATTGCTGAAGGCTTGGAAAGTGAGTACAAGAGGCTTCCCATTGTGCAATATTCGAGTGGAAAATTCTCAAAACTTTGAGTCGACGAAATCCCCCGTCAGTAGTTCTCCACTTCTCTCCTATGCAGGCATGCAAGTTTAATTTGAGAACCTCCAAGTTCAGTAGCATCCCTAGGATTTTCATATCCTCCCACTTTAGATCAGTGTTCGATAAAGTTAGCCTTTTGAGATTTGGAGGAAACTTTTCCCATTTCAAATTGCGAGACATGCGGACCTGGGCATTCGTGTCTAGAAACTTTAATGTGACCAGGTGGCTTAAGAAGTGTAGATCAGGGAATGTTACATTACTGGACTCTGACATCATAGGTCCACAAAATCCTAGCTTTCTAAGACTAGGAGTCCTTCTCAAGATGTCTGGGCATGAACTAGCAAGACATACTTGTGAGATGGTTTGGAGGTAATTCAATGACAGATAATCATCAGTAATCAAAGGCTTCTCGATATTATTTTCTCTTGACGTTATAAGCAGATGTTTCAGCTTCCACATCTTCCATATATTTTTTGGCATAGTTACATTGACCCTTGATGATATAATAAGGATTTCTAGGTTCTCCAGGTTGGATATTGATGCTGGAAGACTACCATCCCTAATCCGAAGTGCTAAGTACTTCAGATGAACAAGTTGTAATATCTCCTCAGAAAAATGTGTGACCGGAATGGATGAGAAATCCATAACCCTAAGATGACTTAAGGTCCGAAAAATGTGTGACGCATGCTTCCCAGATAATGTATCTGATTCAGGACCAAAGCATAAGAGAGAACACAAGTTTGCTGTTGGAGGCTCTAAAGGAATATAATGAAAATCTTTTGAATGAATGCACAAGCGACGTCTCTTTGCTAGACCTGAAAAAGAAACAACTTGTTCATACCCCTTAATCGGTAGCAGAAAATTCTCTTCATCAGCCTTTCTCAAGCATAAATCGTGCAACAGATCATGGAGATGACATACAGCGACATCGCCACTGGAATTTTTTTTGGCAACTAAAACCAGATTTCTATCAATTAGCTCCATCAAGTAATCGACCGCTGTGTCTTCCATGCTCTTGTGCCTAATTCGTGGTATAAACCCCTCGGCTATCCATAACCACACCAACTTCCACACTGGGATGTCATAGTTTCCTGGGAATGCTCCACAGTAGAGAAAACATGCCTTTAAGTGATGAGGCAAGTAGTTATAACTCAGTGCTAGAGGAGCCATGCACTGATTTGGGTCGCTAAGAGCGTATGAACTTACGCTCTCAGCAACTTGGTTCCACCAGTCTACTGTTTTTTCTGTCTTTGCAAGAATTCCAGCTATTACAACTATAGTAAGGGGTAGTCCCTGGCAATTTGCTGCCATTTGCTTTCCAATTTCGGCCAGCTCTGGAGGGCAATATACTCTCTGATATATCTTTTGTTGCAACAGTTCCCAACTTTCGTCTTGAGTTAAGAAGCGTAGATGGTGAGAGCCATTAGATTTAGCACGCAGAGTAATATTTGCTTTCCGACTGGTGAACATAATTCTACTTCCATTATGGTCATCTGGAAAAGATTTTTCCAAATCATACCAGGCATCAATATTCCAAATGTCATCCAACACGACTAGATACCTCTTACCCTTTAAGAGTCTGCGCACCTCTTCACCTAATTTTGCATCACTCATTTCATAAATTTCATCCCTAAGCTGAAAAGCAGAATGTAAAAAGTCAAGTAACAAATCCCTCTTTGTGTACACTTGAGACACATAGGCCCAACCTCGAATATAGAAGTGATATACAATAAAAGGATCATTGTACACTTTTCTAGCTAGAGTTGTCTTACCTAGTCCAGCCATGCCCACAATGGTGACAACTTCTAACTTCTTCTGGCCTATAAGTCGCTCTTTAATGGTCTCTGCTTCCTGATCAAATCCAACCACAATTTCCTTATCTACATTAGGAATACCAGCTGTTGGAGGACTCCTTCTCCCTGTTTGCTCTGTATTTAGAATTCTTTGTATTGACGAATTTCCACTGGCCATGATTTTCAGTTCATTTGGTGTTCTCGCTATTAATGAACTCCCACAGGTGCTCCTTTCATCTTGTGGGATACTGATACACATTTTTTTGGTATATTGCTTCATTTTTTTGGTATAATGCTTCATGACCTCTTTCTTTATTGTCATTTTAATATCATCACTGATATAACCAAGCCCCAGAGAATCCTCAATAATGTTAATGTAAGCAAGTTCTAGATCAGGATGAAACTTAAAGGCGAAAATAAGTACTGCAGCCACGTAAGAAACTACACTTTGGGCAACATGCTCCCAAAAATATTGTGTCTTTTCTTCCTTTGCAAGGAGTCCTGCTATAACAACAATTGTGAGAGGTAGTCCATGACATTTTTCTGCTATTTTGCTTCCGAATTTCCATAATTCTTGAGGGCAGCTTTCTTTACCAAATACCTTTTTTTCCAGTAAAACCCAACTTTCATCGAGAGTGAGAAGAGGCAGCAGCAACTGAGGGGTAAGAGGGCTAGCTTTGAAAGCCATACGCTCTTGTTGCTTAGTTAGAATAATTTTACTTCCATTGTTGTCATCTGGAAAACATATCCTTAAATGGTTCCAGACACAAATATCCATTATATCATCGACGACGACAAGATATCTTTGGCCTTCCAAGAATGTATAAAGCTCTTTACATAGCTCTTCATGATTCATTTTACGAATTTGATCAGTGATAAAAAGATACGAATCTAAAACTCCAAGCGACAAATCTCCATGTTTCGGAACACTGATAAAGGCACCAACATTGAAGTGAGATGCAATACAAGGATCATTGTACACTTTTCTGGCCAGAGTTGTCTTACCACTTCCGCGCATGCCGACAATTGAGACCACTTCTAACTGCTTTTGTCCTCCAGTAAGCACCTTCCTCGCCGCCACCAAATCAAAGCCCAACTCTTCTAAATGCTTTTGTCGTTCAGTGCCGATTCGTTCAGAAAGCCACACAATCATCGGCACCTTCCAACCAAAGTCTAACTTCTTTTGTCGTCCAGTAAGCCGATCCACCATCCTCGCCGCCCCCCTATCAAAGCCCACCACCATTGCTTCCTCGGTATCTTTTATCGCTAAACTTCCAATCTCGGAAGACTTACCAAATTGCGAGAACACCACCACAGTTTCATCCTCCACTACTAGAGTGCCACTGCCTGCTCTTGATGAAGATGAGCATCCACCACATTCGTGCAGTTGCTGGACTCCAATACCGTACACCTTGGTGCAAATCTCCCGTGCCATTGTGTTGATAATCTTAAGATCTTCTATGACACTAATGACCTTTTGCTCGGTATCATCTATTTCGTCCAAATCACTAAAGAGCATTTGCTCGGTATCATCTATTTCGTCCAAAATTAATTTGACTAAATTGGCTGCCTTGTCTGCCACATCAACGAGTTTTGTCACCAGAATTTTCACTTCATTGTGCTCAGAGCGTTTCTCAACTAATTCCTTGACGAGGATCCACAGGATTTTTTGGTCCTTGTATAGATATTCGATCTGCTGCTTATGATCTTGAAACTCGTTGGCCTTACATGCAAGTAGCAGCTTCAAGTTCTCGAAAAGAAAATCAAAAGCAGCAGTTTGAGCCATGTCCTTCTGATTTTTTTTTTTTCTTTTTGCAGAAAGTGTGAAGCTATGGTAGCAGAAGCTAGTTTAGTAAGTCAAGTCATCATCCGCAACTCTTTTGATCCACAGACTTTCTGTTGGGTGGAGAAAATTTCCAGTTTCCTCCCTTATGGTTTGGGTTATTGCACTATAAATCCTTATAATTTTAATATAACCATATAACCCCTTATACTTTTAGAACCCAAATTTCAAAAGTTTGTGCTTTAATAGTTGCCTACATTAGATTATGTATGGATATCCACAGAGAGAGTTTTTCCACAATTTTTGACACGGTAATATAAACATAGGTGATGATGCACAAAAATATTTATACAAGATTAATTATGTATATAATGGAGTATGTGATGGAATATGCTTAACACAATAAAACACACAAATTAAATAGTTCAGTCTGAGTGACCTACTCCACGGAGAATGATTACGGTAACAGAAAAATTTCATCGTTCAAGGTGCATAGAATTCTAAGAAATAAGTGATGTCTCCTTTGTGTAGGCGAGATTTAAAATTTATAGGCGGGTAAAATTTCATAATGACTCTATGGGAGGCCTAATTGAGGTGTTGTTCCCATTACGGGGAGTGAGGAGGTTCCGTGAGTCCGGCGTTATTCCCGTAATAGACTGCGTTCCATAAATTCTCTTTCCTAAAATACAGATCCTCAAGTGCGTTAGTAATAAATTGTGTCTAATAAGACACTGTGATTGACCGAATTTTTATTGATTTGTATCTGTGATCTAGACATGGTCTAGGCCCGGCCCAGTAATAGGGATATGCCAGAAGCTCTTACAAGTTTAGGCTCGTGGTTGTGGACAACAATTCTAATCCCTTTGTCCTTTTTGATTGCCCAATCTGAATTAAGTTTGATTTCCCCCTCCCCACATCTGGTTTAGACCATGTAGTGCTTCAATTACATGTGGTAGTGAGGTTGTTTTGTCCTACAACTAGAGATACAGTGGGCAATTGTTTGTTACTTTAAAGAAATTATACTGGTATTTTTGTCCTGAGCATATCCTTTTTTCATGCCCAATGACCCCTTTATCACATGTTTGCCACAAATAATTTATTTGGGCAGAAAGTGTAATGGGAGTTAATGAGTCCAAAAGCATAAGTAATTATGTGGTTATTTTTATTTTAAAATTTTAAGGACTCGTTTAGTTGTCGTATTGTAAAAGAATGTACTGTATTAAGCAATACAGGTTAATTCCATATAAGTGGATAAAATACATGATTAAATATGGGATAATAGAGTAACAATTACATATTGACTAAAAAACCATCAATCTTGTATAGTTATTAATGTTTTTGTTTATCTATTGGGTACAATAGGAATTTTACAACTTACCACCTCTCAATGTGGTATTTTAATTAACTTAATAATACGGATACAATGTATTATTTGGATAAACAATATATTATTTGGATAAGAATTTGAAATATGACACTATATAATACAGAGTGTTTTTTGCAACCAAATATTATATAAGGTTGGACTAGAGAATTTTAATCTGTTATGACTCTGTAATTCATCATTTATACTGCAACCAAACAACCCCCAAAGGGATAAAGGGCTACAACCCAAACCATAAGAACGTTTAATACCATAAGAGAGTTCTTGTATAGAATATGTACCAACTGCCCATATCAACAAAAAAAAAAAATCAAAGGTTTAGCTATTGAAAAAAAAAAATCTTTCGATAAAAAATTGTAATAGCAAAAAAGAGTTTCAATTGGTAATGTTGTAAACATAAATTCTGATGGCATTTTTCAACGTGATGCAATTTTATGATGACGGATAAATGAAAGAAATAATATTGAAATTATTGGGATCTAAACTACTAGACTCGAGGAAATGATACTGAGAATTGTTGGGGAGCTGGAGAATTAACACAGTAGAAATATAGTGATTCACCAGCTCGGGAGGTCGGCTAATCCACTCTTCAATAGAGATTCTTACTCCTTCCTTCACTATTTATTATACCAAAAGGTTTACAGCATGTAAGATGTGGTACTAGGGTTCTTGCCCCTCTGTTGGGGGCGTTATATAGTATTTATAGGGCTTTTCCTAATTCTGTGGGATCCGCCCTGAGATCTTCACCATTTATCCGAGAAATCCTCCTTGATCTTAGGAGGAGATCTTTCCTGGATGAGAGTTTTATGCTTTGATTATGACTCTTTGCTGCCTCTAGAGTTTTTGTTGACAAATAGCTATCTCTTTATTACTTCCGCTACTGCTTCAATTGGGCTGGGCTTTACTTTGGTTTTATGAGCTTTGTGCGTCTGACCTCCACTCCCGAGCTCATACTTGGGAATTGCTCTAAGTATCATCAGTTGTCTCCCAGCTCTTGGTCAAGCTGGCTTGGGCGAAAGCTGAGCTTAAGATGTAGCAGAATAGTTTCCCAATCAGCGACTTCGAAGTTTGTACATGAATTTTTTTTTTTTGCATGTAGGTGCTCCTGCCCTGAACCTGATTGAATTGATAAGGGTGGAACAAATGACCCAAGCTGAGCCCATGTCTTTTCCTGATCTCATGACCCCAGATAATCTGTTCTTGTTTAGTGTTGCTGCAGCTGAACGGGACTTTTCCTTTTTCCTGAATCTGATCTCTCTTCTACCGAGTCTGATGAGAGCGAGGATGCTGGGACTCATATCAAGAAACACAAAAGGGATGGTTCATCCTTTCTTTCATCCAGATCTTTCTTGGGGGAAGTTCTGTTTTCCTCTACTGGGCAAAAATTGATGGATCTATTGTCAACGACTAAGAAGGAGAGGGATAAGCTGAACGAGGAGAACCTGCATTTGAAAGAGAGGATAGCCGAACTGCAGAGATGACTAGGAATTTTGCTTTGATTGGTTTTTTGTAATCTTTGATGTTCTTGAAACCTTGATTTTCCATTTCCATGTTTACCGCTTCTTATACACAATTTGTGGCTTTGAGAATCTGGCAGCTGATCTTTCATGTCGTTTCCTAGCTTGTGGGCCAAAGACCCTCACTTTTCCTTTTTGTAATGGATAGAAGTTGTGAAGCTTTCCCAATAGTCTACGTGTTGCAGATCTTGGTTTTAGTTCTTTTGGACTTGGAAGCGCATTCTGAGCTGCTGCATTTGCTTTAGGGACAGAAGAACTCGTCCTGAGCTACTGAGCTATTTTTATGGACTGATAAGTTCAATGTGAGCTCCATGGCTCTTTTTATGAACTAACGAGTTCATCATGAGCTATAAAGGCTCTTTTTATGAACTAATGAGTTTGTCGTGAGCTCCCGAGCTCTTTTTAGGAACTAACGAGTTTGTCGTGAGCTCCCGGGCTCTTTTTATGAACTAATGAGTTCTTCGTGAGCTCTGGGGATCTTTTTATGAATTAATGAATTCGTCATGAACTAATGAGTTCGTCGTGAGCTCCCGAGCTCTTTTTATGAACTAACGAGTTCATCATGAGCTTCATGGCTCTTTTTATGAACAAACGAGTTCATCGTGAGCTCTAGTGCTCTTTCTAAGAAATAATAAGTTCGTCATGAGCTCCCGAGCTCTTTTTATGAACTAATGAATTCGTCGTGAACTCCTGAGCTCTTTTTATGAACTAACGAGTTCATTGTGAGCTCCATGACTCTTTTTATGAACTAACGAGTTCATCGTGAGCTCTAGGGCTCTTTTTATGAACTAATGAATTTGTCGTGAGCTCCCGAGCTCTTTTTCTAAACTAACGAGTTCATCGTGAGCTCTAAGGCTCTTATTACGGACTAATGAGTTCGTCGTGAGCTCTCGAGCTCTTTTTATGAACTAATGAGTCATCGTGAGCTCCAAGGCTCTTTTTATGAACTAACGAGTTCATCGTAAGCTCTGGCTCTTTTTTTATGAACTAATGAGTTCGTCGTGAGCTCCCGAGCTCTTCGTAAGAGTGAATGAACCACAAACTTGTTGTTTTATTAATAATCATATTATAAGACAAACTTACTGAAAAAATTTTCTAAAATGTTCTGCATTCCAGGAGTGGGGTAAAATTTTCGCCAGGTGCTTTCATCCAGGGTGGCCACCTTAGAAATTTTTTGTTTTGTACCTTATACAAGATTTACGATATTGTTGCGGTGAGTGGAGGGAATCTGTCGAGGTGCGTACCTCGGCTACAACTCCGGATGAGGTGGTCCCAGGCAATCTCTGTCTCTTCTTGGGGACCTATCTCGTCCTCTCTCTCTTCTGGAACTTCGGTCCCTCTTTTTCTCCTTTTCCTTTTGTCTTTTTGCATGGATGAGCTCCCCACTTTTGAGAGGAGAGCTTCTTCGCCGTTTATGTACTTTTCTGCCTTGGCCAGTGCTTCGGTCATGCTAGCCTGGGGATTTTTCGAGATGGAGAACATCAGGTCTTTAGATTGGACACTCAAGCTAACTATAAATGCAGTAATGACAAATTTCTCGTCTAGGACTGTCCACTTTTTGCGATTCCGAATTTAACCTCTGAACATAGGATCTGAGGTTCTCGTGGGGTCCATGTTTCACATTTAGCAAGTGGTAACTCGGTTTCCTGTACGTTCGAGCTCCGATAAAGTGAGACACAAAGGATATGGATAGCTACTTAAAACAGGATATCGAGGTTGGGGGGAGCCTATTGAACCATGCTAAGGCTGAGCCTTTCAGCATGATGGTAAAGGCTCTACAGCGTACTGGATCCTGGTATCCATACAACTCCATTTGGTTCTTGTAATTGTTGAGGTGATCTACAGGATCCTTTGTTCCATCAAAAGCCTCTATTTGCGGTACTCTGAATTTCAGAGGGAGGGGAAAATGCAGTACGCTAGTGGTGAACGGAGATTCAGTCTGTTGTACCAAGATGTCCATCGTAACTGGAGCCTTGCCTCTCACGACTTCTTTCATGTGGCTGAGCTGTTGCTGGATACCCTGGAAGCGCTGCTCCCAGTATTGTTCTCTCCTTTCCTGTTGATAGGGGAAAAAATGTTTTTCCCTTCTTCGTTAGGTTCTCTGAGGGGGTCTAGGTGCGGTTGCTCCCTAGGTGGGAGGT